ATAAAGGCAACTTTGTCTGATTTGCGTTCTATTTATTTCTTCCATTTTACACACATCCCCAAGGTACCCCACCGGTGAGTTGTATGCATATATATTGCTTTATTTATTATTTTGGAAATCATGATTGACCTTGTGTCGGTGCATATGTGCGTCCTTTGGTTTTTTTTCAAAGGTTTTGTGTCGAAGCTCACTATTTATTTGTTTACTTGTCTGAAAATGTATGTACATAAAATAACATGCTGTTTGTTGCCTTGTTTTGGCTGCAAAATTCGCACATACCAACTTTTTTCTTTCTCGGAATAGTGGAAACAAGCAAAAGGCAGCCAAAAGTTTTTTTTTGCAAAACAAGGTTTCATATATAAATGGAACCCTGTCGCTTGCCGCTCGTCTTTTTTGACACCTTCATTTATTATATTTGCGCGTATTTTTACTATTATTTTTATATTACCTCTAATACTTTAAACCATGGCATTCAAGACCATTTCTGTCCTGGCCTTCTCCGCCCTCGCTGCTCTCAGCACCGTATTTGCGGTTCCTCAAGATATCGACAACCCTCTCCCTACCGATATTAACGCCCTGCTTTCACAGGCAAACATTGACTTGACCTCTGGAATGGCAGAGGCTGCATCCTTGTTTAACGACCCGGCTTTCCAGGCTTCCATAAGCAACGCTGCTCTGTCTTTTAGCGAGTTTGCGGAGAAAAACCCGGCTGCAATTTCTGCCATTTTTGCTAGCCTGTCTGCTCAGTTTGGAATTTCTGCCGACAATAAGGACAAGGACAACGAGGATGAGCACGACCATGACCATGGTCATGAGTCTGTTGACGATAAGGATATTTCTAGCAATGATCACGACCACGACCATAATCATGACGACACGTCAAGCTCCTCTGGTGCCCCCAGCACTAAGCCCCTTGCCGGCATGGTTGTTGCTGCTGGTCTGGCCGCTTGCGCCGCTTTTTTTTAATACATTGATACAGCCGTGCAATTCTGATGAATTTAAATTTAATTGATGAATGCAATTTAGTTAGAGCGCAAGCTCAGTTTTTTTACTGGAGGTGCGTAGTTTGGTAAAAACAATTACACGCATTTATTTTATGTTATATTTACAAGATGCACTCATAGACTTCATATATGGCTTCAGTTTACATTACAGTTAAAACATGCAAGGAAACAAAGTTGCAAAGGTATTTATTAAACATCATGTCAAAAATGGTAGAGCGACATACTTATTAAATACTTTAGAATCCAATTTTAAATTAGCCCGGTTCTTTTGAGTTGCATGAATACAAAAATAAAAAACGTATTGTTTTTTGGTTGACAAACACAATGAAAGCATGCATTGTTTAGCATATTTGTGTACAAACAATTACAAATTTAATATTGAGGCTTGAAGGCCATACTGAATTGTACAGAATAGGTTGTGTATGGTATATTGGCTTTATTGGCATATTGTAAGATTAAACGATTGTGTAAACAATTTGTTTTTATTCTGGACAAAATACAAGATTATAATCTGTAGACTTTTCACAAAAGCAGGGAATGAATGACAAAATAAAAATATTGGTTTAATATTAAAAATGACACACTAGTAATGTAATTTGGCACAGGTTCTGTGCAAATCCAAGTTTGATAACAAAGTGAGCAAAGCGTCTGCTATTTCTTATATATCTTTGATCTCAACAGTGAAGTTACCATATTTGGACATCAACATTTCTGTTTTTACAACACAGTATTCATTTCTTTCTGGGCATAAAAAACAAAAACAAAAAAGGGGAAGAGATAGTGATGAATGAAATAATGGATGAATGGGTATATTTACGAGGCTGAAGTAAAATGTCAAATTCTAGTCAGTTCTATATCAAGCCTGGAAAAACAGACTAAAAATATAAAAACAAGCAATATTCTTTTTCATTTCCCGAGACGCGCGTTATATTATTTTTATTTTTTGACTCCCCTCCTTATTTTTTCTTTTGCACTTTATAAAATTTCATTTTGTATAGTCCTCAAAACTCACAATATAGCCAGAATATCTCTATTATTTAACAAGCCAACAAATTGATTTATAATGCAGCTTTCTGTTATTGCATATATGTTTGCTGCCTGTGCCTACGCCCAAGGTCCTACATTTGATGTCTCGGCTCTCCAACTTGGCGCAGCTGCTGATCCCGGGGTTTCAGCATTAGCGGCCATCGGTGACCCCACTCCAAACGCCGTGGTTACTGATTTGCCGCCCCTGGCACAACCATCTTCACTGGACGCGGCCAGCATTATTGCCAATGTTCTTGCCTCAGCAAACGCCACCGCGATAGTTGCTTCGGTGGATGCAGTCAACGGAGTCGGCTTGGTAAATGAATCTGTAGCCAATGCCCTGAAACCTGTTTCCAGCGCAAATGCACCAGAGTTTCCCAATGTCGATGAGATTAACAGCTTTGTTCAAAGCTTACAGGACACTATTTTTAAAAACACGCCGCTGGGAAATCTTGAAACAGAGTTCAGCATTGTGGAAGCCAACGAGTGGTCAACCGAACTTCACACGCAATGGTCAACTGGGCTTCACACGCAGTGGCCAGAGAACCACAAGGAGAGCGGTGCTTCTATTATTAGCGATGCCGACTATGACGATGAAAACTCGTGGGAGCTGGGCATTGACTCGGATGATGCCGAATTGTACAGTGGAAAATGGTCTTCAAGCAAAATGAAGAGCTCAAAGGAATCATCGTGGGACAGCGATGATGAATTTAATTCCGTTTCAGCACGTAAATCAACTTCTGGGTCGGCAGGAATTCTGAACATGAATATTCTCATGCATGCTGTTGGAGTTGTAGGGGGTGCACTTATTATCTTTTGAATAAACAAGCCACTACACTTGTGAGCTTTTATCATATTATAATATCTTAATAATACCCCTCTTTTGGATTCAGTAAACAAAGAGTGCATGTGCATGATGGGAAATTCAATATTTCGGCCAATTTGGTTTTTTCTAGTGAGCCTTTTTGTAAATACTTGTTAACTGTGAGATTTATTAATGCTATGGCCATATTTAATTTTAAAATTATTATTTCAATGTAATTAAGCTAGACTTGTAGATCTATGTGTATTAGCGATAACAAAAATTTTTGACACCAATTCATTTGTTTACTGTGAGTGACTGGAAAAGTAGACAAAAAGACAAATTTACTGTGATTCGCTTGATTTTTAGTTTTATAAGTGGGGGGAGCGGAGGGATATTTTGAAGTATAATTAAAAACTGCAAATGTCTACTTTTTTCTCTGCAGCACAAAAGACAAGCCACGGATTCCGTATTTTGTTGACAAATTTCTGGATTGAACAAAAAAGAACAATGGACAAAAAATTATGTTGACATGTTTTTTTACATGGATGGGAGAATAATCAAAGATATTGTTTTGCTTGTTTGAACAAATGAATGAGTCCTATGAACAGAAAAAAAGATTTTTTTTATATATTTTCTCCATATGCTGAATAAATTATTTGCTCTTTTTATCCAAAAAAAATTTATTACACACATATATACCAACTTGCACATTTATTTTTTGTATTACATAATTATGCGTAGTTCCATTCCCCTAGTACTTTTTGGTATATCCCTAGTCATTGGTCAAAATGATAAAGCTTTTGAGTCGTTTATGAGCAACCTGTCATATAACTGGCAAAATGAATTCCCAGATCTTAGATACCAGGTCGCCAGGCTGCAGCAAGATGACCCCGCAAAATACAATGAGCTAGTTGCACAGCTGGGACTTAAAGCAGGCTCGCAGATAAGCATTCCCTCGCAGTTCAACTACGCCTGGGCCAGCCAGTTTGTCATGGCCGCCGGAGTTTACAAGCCGACTGCAAACCAGGAGGCTAACCCACAGGAGGCAAAACCTACGGGAAATACGGATAAAACCGACGGTGATTCGTTTCAGAGCGCGTTAGGAATGCTTACAGGGTTTGATCAGACAAACATGGCCACAAAAACCAACAGCAACAACAAGGATGACCATAACAACGAGGGGGAATTGAGTGGCGTGGTAATTGTAAATGAAGAAGATAAATCCAGGACCTCGACATCCACAACACCTACGCGTTCAAGCTCTACCAGGTCTACAGGACCTACAAGCAAATCCAGCGACATTAACAATGATGACGACGACGACAACAATAAAGACAGCAAGGCGTCGCAGCAATTTGGCAACCCGATAGTTGGGAGCATTAACAAAGATAATGTGCAAATTATACCCAGCGGCCAAGGATACAATGGAGCCCAGAACCTCATCCCATCGATTCCCCTTCTTGTCATTCTGTCATTTTTCTAAACCGCGCAAGAGATTAGTTTAATTTACGATATGATATATGTTACAATAGAGTATAATCAAAGAGAATATTTATTTCTTCCAAGGAGAGCAATTCCTAGCTGCCTGACAGCCGCTCTTTTTATATGCTCTCCTTATGATATAAATAAACTAATAGAAACTCATCAGCACTGCTCTGATTGCCACGTGCGTAATCAATTAGTCTCAGTAAGGCAACGCGCAACAGCATGTGTCTCAACTGTGACATATATGATATGGTATATTTTTTTAAATAGTTTTGATGTTTAACCATAGCAAAACTAATTCAGTTTAATTAATAAATGTTTACATTCTTGTAAAGCTCCTTTTATCCTTTCGTAAATATTTGGTTGTATATTTGTCTTGTACGCCCTTTTTTAATATATTTCGACGACAAAAAAGCGGATGCTTGTGATTTTACCTCACACTCTCTGTTGTTCTCACGTGTACCAGCACTACTTACTCGCGTGTTATATGTAGAAATAATGGAAAGAAATAAATGTGAAGTATTGACTGCACATTTCATTTGAATTTTCTTTTAACCTTTCTGGACAATATAAAAAGGGCTAGAAGGTGCTGCCGATTCTTGGCACTTTAAAAAGTTGTCACGATAAAAACTGAAAAACAAGCAGAAAAATAATAGTAGTGCATAAAAACCCACGACATTGGGAACGTTCATTGAGCGGCTCCATATTTTCCTTTCTTGCTTGTTTTTGCTTTAAATTAAATTACACTTTTCTTTATATTCATTAAACTGTTTTACATATATATTTTATTTGAATATTCAACTCACCATGTTCACAGTCGACGTTACACTGACCAATACCACTTCAAAAATACTCACAAACAAGGAGGGTGACACGTTTGTCAGAGGCAAAGTACACATCGAAAACACAAAAAACATAGGTATCAGCAGAATTGTTGTCAATCTGGAGTGCACCGAAATTATCGATACCGACGATAGCAAACCAGAAAGCAAAAAAAAGCGTACACCGCCAAAAATAAACACACAGATATGTGTATGTTGGACTATAAAAAGCATGGAAGAACTGAAAGCTCGACTCAGCGGCAACGTATATTTTTTACCAAACATTCTGCCCCCCGGTGAGCACAATTACTTTTTTTCCATACCCTTATCCAAAGAATTGGACCCTACAGTAGAGACAAATTCTTACAGTATAAAATACGAGCTGAAGACACGGCTGGTGTACCCATCCTTGTTCAAGCCCGATACTGTTGTGACGACGCCCGTTGAGTTAATCCAGATTCCAAAGACACTGGATTTGCATGCAAATGATCAGCTTTTGCTTAATACGCCGGTTCCGAGAATCCGCAAGTTGAAGACATTTCAGCTGGATAAAGTGCCGCTGGGACATTCCGCTCGCTTAAGACCAGACAATATTGAACGGAGCAAACCCTTTGTTTTGCACCACCTGTGGGACAACAGCCTAAGCTTGCGTCTAAGATTGCCCAAGGGCCGGCTATTCCCCGATGGCTCACAGCCGCTGGTAGATATTGAGGCGGTGGCTATTAGTAGCGAGTACAGGCTAACCGGAATAACACTAGTTTTAGAGGAGGTATCCATTATGAATAAACTATCAGCCGCTGAAGTTGCCAGGCAAAAATTGGAACCCAGCTCTATTCATTTGCCGGAAACCGCCGGGGAAAACGCTGTAACCCAAGTTAAAGAACTCAGTCGCTCATACTTTAAACCAAACAATTCTGGTATACAGGAGACAATTGCAACCAAAATGTCTCTTGACGTTCTTCATGCCAGTATACATACAAGTCATCCGGATTTTGGAAATTCTCATTTTCGTCTAATGCACCGGATAAACTACAAGTTGCATTATGAAAAGGTGTGCCCTAAGGATATCCTTGTGCCTTTAATTTATCCTGTGTCTGTGGATGCAAGAGTCAAAGTGGTTGCCAGTGTGCATCGCAAATTAAACCAAGCCAATATTGTACAGCGCGATAGACTGTTTGGAACTGGCAAGGTTAGTGGTAGCGTGGCTGTGGTTGTGGCTCCTGATGCTGTATGTAAACTGTGGGGGATTCGGAACCTGGAGCAGGACATTGTGAGCGAGGCACCGGCGTATGTGGCCAATTTAATGGATGATTTCGAGTCGGTAGGGAGTAGTTCTAATTCTGGAGGCATAATGATTCCTTCCATGATGCCTATGCCAATGGGCATGAGCGCAGAGAATACACAGGTGCAGTATCCGCCAGTGCATGGAATGAACATGCCAATGCCACCAGCTCACCACCAGGAGCAGCCAATACAGACCTCGCTTGAAAGCTACCCTCCCACTGCGCCAGTCAACAGCATTGTTTCAGCTTTTAACTTAAATCATACTTCTGTTGCTACTAATTCCGCCGTAGATACACCGGCGCCAAGTGATTCGCAGACTTTAAGCAGAACCACAGGATTTACTCCTACGCCGTCGCCATCTGCGCAGCAGCAAATTCAATTGTTCCAGGAGCAACAGCAAATCCAGCAACTACAGTTCCTCCAGCAGCTTCACGAGCAATACAGCCAGCCCATCAGTTTAACCTCCTGTGCTCCGACTCCCAATCCTGCATTTCAATCTTCAGCTCCAGCTTCATTTCCATTGCCAAGTCATACAGCCATTGATAACCTCCCATTTAATTTATCTATCGCGACACACACACATCCCAGATCAAATGAGGAAGAATGGCTTATTCCTAGCGGAACCCCCAGTGAGTTTTCACCTCCGCCTGTAAGCAATAGTAGTGGCCAGCCACCTGAAGAGCAATCTTCAATCACAGCCACATATAATGATCCAGTTTCTATAAGTATGGCTGTATATATGTCAGAGGAAGTAGCGGCGGAGCTTCGAAATTTGGACATTGGTTTTGATGATATTAATGTTGGTGGGGAGGGGAGCAATTGGTCGATGGATTGCTTATCTCCCGCTTGCGCCACCGCCCCCAAACGCAGTACTGGGTTAGGATTGAGTGGGTTGATATCGGGTGCAAGGTCGTTGTTAACGCCGAGAACTCAAAGATTGGCCGCGGGTAATGATGAAGTCCAGGTTGTGGCGGTACAGGCTGAGGTTGCTTTGAGTAATAATGCCCAGGGGCCAGCTGAGCACATCCAATCCAGCACACTATCCTCCCAAACCTTGCCATCGTTTATTTTCGATGAAGGCGCGTTGCCGCCGGATTACGATGCCAGAGTGCAACAGCCGCCACTGTACCGTCCCCGCGAAAGCAACAGATCGCCCCGCCGCTAAGTAAGAAAAGGCAATAATACCAATTTCCCCATCACATATGCAATATATTCCAAATAAATATCTATTGTTTTATTAAACGAAAACGCCCTTTCTCGTCATCGGCTCATACAAAGCAATGAAGCCAAGCAGTCCACACAGAAACACAGCCCACACAGCAACCCTCCTCCAGCCCATATACTCCCCGATTCTCCCAAGATCCGGCACCCCCATGATGTTGCAAAATACATGAGCGCACACAGGACCAGCAACACTCCCTGTTTTAATAAACAAGCTGGCGGCAAACCACCCAAACACCGTTGTATAAGCGATCTGGAACAAGGTCCGCAGCCACACACCGCTGGACTGGCGGTGCGCCCAGGCATGGTGCACGTGGGCGATCCCAAAAACCAGCGGCGACAAAAACACTGTTTTATTCGTCGACACACCGGGAGACACGGCCCATAGAGAGACGACGCAGGTGCGGAAGACCAGCTCCTCGGTTACGGGGCCCACGACGTAGTTGCGCAGCAACTGTGGGCTGGACCAAAGGTCGCGTGAGACCAGCGCCCAGAGCCGCTTCCACGAAATCGCGCCGCGGCCCTGCGCTGCAGCATCCAGATAGTCCAGCATTAGCGGGCCGAGGTAGATCACGCAACAGAGAACCATGGCCACAACAACCGACCCTGCAACCTGCGCATACCCAAGCCCCATACTCCTAACAGCGTCCACCTGCCATGCACGCAGCTGCACCCCGGCTATCCCCAGGCACAGCATTGTGGCGAGCAGCGCCCCGAGTGTCCGCTGCTTGATTACTTGCGGGTGGTCTCGGTCGTGGATCGACACGGCGGGCGCGGCGTTGTTTGACAAAGAGGATGCGCGTAGCGCTGTGAGGAAGTAGATGCTGCCGACGTAGAGTGCGCTGAAGAGAAGCGAGTGCGTGAGCGCAACGGTGAAGTGCGGCGTAGCCAGCCACGCGAGCAGCGCGCCAAAAGAGATAGCTGCCATGGATTTTGGGGCGGGATTGGTCAAATTAAAAGGGTGTAAATGCGAATTGAATTGAAGAGAAAGAAAAGAAAGAAATTCGAAAAGCAAATTCAATTTATATTTTGGTTTTTTTCACTCCCCACAAAGAAGCGATGTTTTGCCCTTTAGTCGTCCTCGTCCCAGTTGCCCTGCTGCTGCTTGGGCAGCTTGGGCCCGCCGGCGGTCTTCGCCATGACGATCTGGTCGACCTGCAGAACAGTCAGCGCGGCCTGCGTGGCGTACGTCAGGCCCCACGACTTGACGGCCAGCGGGTCCAGGATGCCCTGCGCCAGGGCGTCGACCAGCCGCGGCTCGTGGTCGCAGTCAACGTCGACGCCGATGCTGGGGCCGATCAGCGCGCCGGCCACCGTGGTCTTCGCCTTGGCGTGGTGCGCGGCAATCAGCTTGGCCACCAGCGCCGTGCTGTCGACGCCGGCATTGTCGCCCATGGTGCGCGCAAACACCTCGAGCGCCTGTGCAAAGGCCTTCATCGCGTGCTGGTTGATGCCGGCCGTGCGGTCGGCCGCATCCTGCACCAGCCGCGCCAGCTCCATCTCGGCTGCGCACCCGCCCGGCACCAGCCGTGGGTCCTTGGTCAGCGCCTTAACAACGTTGACGCCATCGTCGACCGCGCGCTCGGCGTCGTCCAGTGCGTTCAGCGTGGCGCCGCGCAGCACCACAGTGACCAGCGGCGACCGCTGGATGCGGTCCGCAAAGGCCGGCCGCTCGGCAGCGACCCCGCTGGCTGCCAGCTCCTCAGCCGTCCACTGGCGCACAACCGTGACGCGGTCGCCGCCGATCTCAGTCGTGCGGATCTCGTCGCAGTAGCCCATCTCCTCGGGCGTCGGCACGCCCAGCCGCGCCAGCGGGTTGGCGCCCAGCACGCGGCATACGCGCCGCAGCTCGAACTTGGACGGCACCTTGAGCGCCACAATGCCGTAGCGGTTGAAGTAGTGGACGGCCAAGTCACCGACGCCCGACCCACACACCACAGCGGCGATTCCGGCCGCGTGCAGCTCGGCGACGCCGCAGCCATCTGCGCCTCCTCGCCGCGCGTGTAGTCCAGCATCTCGCCGGCCGTGTGCAGCAGCACCGTGCCCTTGGTCTCGGTCTGGCCAACATCGACCGGGCAGGCGAACACCGCCACCTTGGCGAACCGCGCGCGCTGCGCCGCCGTCTCAGGCGCCCTCGGGAACACCATGCCGTGCTCGACGCGGCTCTGTGCCAGCGAGCCGCCCAGCACCTTGACGACGCGCACGTTGTCGACATTGAACCGGCTAGCGTCGCCGCGCGGCATCGTCGCCACCACGGCCTCGGCCACCAGCTTCCCGAGCACGTCCTCCTGCCCATACTGCTTCGATGCAATCGCCGACCGAACGGCCTTGAGCACCTGCGCCGGGTCCGTCCACTCGCGCACCTCCTCGGCCGCCAGCGCTTCCAGCGCGCGCAGCGCCTCCTTCAGCGCCAGCTCGTACCACGCGCGATCTCCGACGGGTGCAGCCCCATGCGCAGCAGCGACTCGGCGCGCTGCAGCAGCTCGCTGGCGAAGATGATCACGTAGTTTGTGCCGTCGCCGGCCTCCGCCTCCTGCTGCTGGCTGGCCATCACCAGAAGCTTGGCCGCTGGGTGTACCACCTCGAGCTCGCGGATGATTGTCGCCGCGTCGTTCGTCACAAACAGCTTCTCCAGGTGGTTGACCACCATCTTGTTGCGCCCGTTGGGCCCGAACGATGTGCGCGTGATTTCGCTCATCTCCTTGGTCGCCTGGATGTTGCGGAATATGACTTCCTCGAGACCTTGCAGGTTCTTATACCCCTCCTTGAAGAGCTGGGGGCCGTTTGACTGGGGAACGCGG